AATAGAAAATCACCATTAGATACCCCAGAAATAACTGTCAGGAAAATCCACTGCAGAACACTGAAATCAAAAGGTAAAACTAAGAAGAAACAGGGTATCTACAGATCCTCAAATTACCTCTCCCACTATGTTTTATCAATTACTGTGGTGGTTTCAACATAGGTCCACAAATTCTTTGATATGCCTCCTTCCAAGAGATGCATCTAATTGTCTTCCCCTGTATGTGAGCTGGACACATTTACAAAGAACTGAAAATTGAAAGGGAAAAATAAATTTAGAGCAGCAAAAACTGGCAGATCCCCCTTATTCAAATGATCAGTTACCATCACTAGTAATAGTCATGTTGTCCTACCCCTCACCCGAGCATGGTATGATGAGACAGTTACCTCACCACTGTGGTATTCCTCCCCACAAAAATGCAATCATGAGAAAACATGAGACAAACCCAAACTGAGGAACCTTCTACAAGATACCTGACTAGCACTCTTTAAAAGTGTCAAGGTTGAGAAAAAAAGGAAAATTGTCACGGATCCAAGGAGGTCAAGGACACACGGTGACGAAATGCAGTGTGGAATCTTGAATGGGATCCTGGAACCGGAAAAGGGTAAGTCTGAGTAGTCTGCAGTTTTGTTAACAGCAGTGTACTGATGTTAATTCTTAGTTTTGATGAATGTGCCACGTTTACATGAGATGTTACCATTAGGTGAACCTGGGTGAAGGGCACACAGGAACTCTGTAGTATCTTTGCAACTCCTCTGCAAATGTAAACATATTTTAAAACAAAAAGTTTTTTAAAAACCATCCAGTCTAAGCTCTTCATTTTACATATAGAAATCTAAGGATGCTAACTGGCAAATGCCCAGCATCCTAGCACGAGGTAGATGGTAAGTGCTTAATAAACACTTCTCTAATTACATGGGCTTTTCACCCCAATGGCTAGTGAACAAGTAGTCCCCAGAACCCAGGCATCCTGGCCTTCTAGGCCTGGCAAGTCCACACAAACGCTGACTACATAAAATAATGGCAATAATGGGTTTTTTAAGTTCTTTTTTTGAAGATGAAACAGAAATAAAATAAAAATAGGAAGTATATCCCCGTTCTTTTCACTAACCATCAAATTCATATTCCCCCACACAGACTTTGTGAGAAACAAAGGTTTTACATAGCTAAAATCTAATCTGTCTGGCAACTGGCACATAATTTTAATTTCTTAAAAGGAGGTAGATGTAGACGTTATTCACATTTAAAATATAAGAGGAGGATCAGTGGTAATTGGAATAAATATTTCATAATGTGATAAGTTTAACCATCACATTAAAGGACACAGACTCTTAAAAGAATTCATGAAATTCCTTAAGAAAAAAGTCTTTAACATGTTTGTTTTCATCCTTTCCAATTTGTCAGAAATGCTGAACAATTCTCTTTTCTATTCCTTGTTAGACCGCTTTAGGGAGAGAGTGAGAGCCGACTCATCAGACTATCATGAAAACTGTTTGAATAATTAGACCTTTACATTACTGAAGATAAACATACAATTGTCTTGTTTTGCTCAATAACATTGTTCAAAAGATCAAAAGTGGTAGAGACAACATAAAATTTAAAACTTTAATACTGGTGTTGTGCACTCTTCTACTTTACATTTTGAGGATTAACTACCTCTGATTTCAACTCAAAAACACTTTTTTGCTCACAAGGATGTTCCAAGAATATTGCAAAGGTGCAAGAATAAAAACAGAAAAAAAAACTATTGTTTACCTCGAACTATTAACATTTTATTCCTTTTGCTTTACCATTCTGTGTGTGTGTGTGTGGTTTTCACTTAACCATTTTAGACTTGTGTTAATGTATGCAGACAGCATGACCCTGAAACTTCAGTAGTGTAAGAGGTGACACAGAAGTTTGATCTGTGGGGATTTTCTTCATTGTTTTGCTGAAAATAGTATTAGCCCTAGAAACATTCTAGTCACACTTAAAGGAATATTTGTAACCTATATTGCAGCTCTGACTGCTTAAAGCTATTTTTCTTTCCAGCTAGACAACTGAAAATAATTGCTTGTGTTTAAGTACACCTTCAATTTTTAGCATTCAATAATTCCTACAGATACTCTTTGCTCTCAAGAGAGATACAGCCTCTGATACTAGTGCAGAAATGGAAGCAGATAAGACAGTGAAACAAAATTATCATTTCTACCACTTCATCCTACCAATACCATTCAGAATAATTTAACAAAGTGGTTTTCCCTCTAAAGAAATACTATATAAGGCAGGGAAAGGCAGGAAATCAAAGGGCCTGTCCTATCTCGATTCATAATTGAGGGAGTCTTACTTTCTGTTTTGTGCACCAGAATTGTTTTACACATGCAGCAGTGCAACCAAGTGAGGTTTGAAATGGGCAAGAGACCTTCCCTTCAGTCACTCACCACCGTCTGTTTCACCTGGAGATGGGCTGGCTATCGGGTCCTTACTGTGTGTACACACAGCCCACTAGTCTGGTCCTCTGGAGAACCCCAAATAACACAACCCTCCGTATTTTATCCTCTCAGAGCACCCCATACTTAGCTTCATCTTTTCAAACTGCTGAATTGTGGTCTATTGATAAACCTGTACATATACTATGTGTAAGTTATATATTATACATGCAAAGAGATTTGTTACAAGGCATTGGCTCACACCGTTAGGGAGGCAGACAAGTCCCAGGATCTGCAGGATGAGTCAGCACGTGGGAGACTCAGGAGAGCTGAGTATTTTCCCCAACCAAAGCCTGACAGGCTGTAGGTCCAGGAAAAGCCAGTTTCAGTCAGCCCAAACGCAGAAGGCCAACAGCCCAGCTCAAAGGCTATGGCACAGGAGGGATTTCTTACTTGGGAGAGGTCAGCCTTTTGTTCTACTCAGACGGTCAACAGATTGGATGAGGCCCACCCACAGAGGGCCAGCAATGGGCTTTACTCAGTCTACTGATTTAAATGTTAACCTAATCCAGCAAGCTCTCACAGAAACACCCATAATAATGTGTGACCCTGGGGTCCAATCAATATAAAACATCAAAGTAACCACCACAAGGAAGAAGGAGACAGTCCAAGATACCTAAAATTGACTCTTAAAGGATTTGTGGGACTGGGTGGAATTTGGAGGGCAAGATTTGTGATCTAGGAAGAGGGAGGAGAACATGGAGAATAAAGCATAGAAAGTGAGGCTCCCTCAGAAAATTGCAGAGGTTCAGCTTAGGGTTGCTGAGGGCCATTAGGAAGGGGTTGGAAGGAAGTTTAAGCAAAAGGATCCCTGGCCTGGGGGCTTTGCCAGCCAAGCTAATGTCCTGTTTTTTTATGGGAAAGCATGGGAATGATCAAATTTCTACTTTATACAAAAGAACTTTAAATTACAAAAATAATACCTAGTTTCACAGAAATGAAGTAAGCCTAAGTCTATGAAGTAAGTCTAAGGAAAACAACTCATGGTATTTGTTGCCATTTTCAAGTAAAAATTGGAACTGCAGAAAACTTGTATCTACCATTACCACTATAAGGTTGATAGCTTTCCACTTTAAGAATGTCTAATGAAGCCAAGGGATATTAAACGGTGTGAGTTTTAAATATTGTCTTCTGAAATGTGTCAACATATGGAAGATCTATATAACTCAGTAAAGCAGTATTTTCCAAATGACCTATTTGGATGTTACATAATCAAGCATGGGGTGGGGCAGAAGAAACAATTCAAAGAGCAAGATCAATCAAATGGCTTTTAAAGAAACAGAGTATGAAAAGTTCACAGACATGGTTTCAGATTTGACACTGCAACTAATCTTTAAGAAACCGTTATTTGCCCATGTTGAATATGGGTTCAAAGAATATTAATAATTATCTAAAAAAGATATTAACATACTCCTCCCATTTTCAAGTAGGCATCTGCTACAGGGGAATTTCTAGTTTGGTTTTCAAGTGTTACAAGAGCCAGTATCTGGCTGTATTTGACCTCAGTAATGAACACCCTTCCTTCTGGCCTTCACCGTCTTGCTGGTTTCAGGTAACTTCTTTGGAAGTCATTTCAAAATGGAGCTGCCAGATCACTGACTTCCGTTCTCTTCACAGCTAACACTGAGGAGGGATGCAGGAAGACTAATGGGAAGAAGAGCTATTTCGGGAGTGTAGCAGGGGGGTTTGGTAACACAAAGTCAGGCCCAGTGAGAGCACTGCAGGTCATACACTTTGCCTGAAGGAAAACGCTGGGGGTTGCCTTCTAACCACATGCACATCCTATTCAGCCCTTGACCTTGCCTGGAGCTTCCTCACCTGGAGAGATGAAGATGCTGGAGCAAAACCACTCTCTCAAGCTATGGCAAAGAAGTGCTCTACGTGTGACCCCCACAGAACCTCGGAAAGGGAAAGGGCGGGGAAGCGAAACGGACCCAGGGCCTAAAACGACATGCCTCCTGTAATTCTGCCCACAGCTGCCAGGCTCTGATACTTGAGGAAGAACTGCTGCTGTCTGAAGGGCCAAGGAGACCGGGTCTGGAATGAAGGGGATACACACACATCTGCATGTGGGACACCCAAACAGGGGACATACACCCGGATGTGTTTGTCCAAACCCAGAGAACTGCACACTTAGGGAACCCTAGTGTAAATTGTGGACTCCTATTAACCCTATCATATCAATGCTGCCACATCAATTGTAGCAACCACAACATACTAACACCAGGGGCTAATAACAGGGGAGATGGTGCATAAGCACAGAGGGGTGTCTGGGGATTCTGCACAAGTTGCTCTTTTCTGTGAACTGAAAACTGCTCTAAAAAAAAAAAAGCCTATTAGTTTCTGTTTTAAGTTGACACAGCTTATAGTTTCCCAAATGCAGACCCTAGGCAATCGGAACTGCTTGTTCTGTTTAAAGGATGGTGACGGGAGTGGTAGCTCAAGGGCTGAGTGTAGAAACTTGGTGCACTGACCACAGTTGTCAAAAAATGACTCTTCTTTCCCTCAAAAACCAGAGGTGTACTTCATCGGTGTATGTCAACTAGTATTTTATTATTTTGGCAAATGCAAAATATACAAATTTCTGAAAGGCATCCCGTTTGAAAGCTGCCACAGCTTCATCCCAGGTAATTAATTCAGACAAATATACAGGATGCGGAGAAGGCGTTAAGTCAAGTCACACATAAGAGGCCCCTAAACCAACCAATGTCAACTAACCCAATCCATACAGCTTCCTATTTCCAGGCTACCTTATACATATTAAATAAATAAATAGCACATCCGCTATCAAAATAATAAAAAAATAAATTTCAAGTATTACAAACAAAAATATCATTGGTGTGGTTCAAACAGGTTTTCTTCTCACCACAAAGGAAGAGTTTTGCCCTTGGTCTCAGGACAGAAATAGAAGGTGGGGGTGGGGCGGGTAAGTCCACCCAGAAACAAATACGAGACATTAAAAAATTGGTCCCAGGTATTTTTCAGAAGGCAGGGACGACAGGCAATAGAGCAGAAGCCCCCAACCCACCTCACAAATGCACAAGCCCAGGCTGCCGATTGGGCAGCAGCTGGTTCTCCCCAAGGTCTCCCCCTGGGTCCACATTTAGTCCCTCCCCGTGCAGGAGGGTGGGGCATGCACCTTCACACAGCCCCCATGCCTGATCAGATCAGGGTCAGGTCTGACACCCAAAGCGGGCCAGGAAGTGGGGTGCAAGCCATTCTCAAGAGCAGAGCTGAGGGTCCTAAAAAAACGACCAAGACCATGCGCGCACACAAACACACACACACACACACACAAGCTGCCTGCAAGGCTTGTGACAGCAGGGAAAACCCAAGCCTTCGGTCACACAAGGACATAAAGGACACCCTCTCAGACAGACTGCTGATGGGCAGGGTGGGTGGTGGTGTCAACAGCTGTTGTGAAACCCACAAACTTGCCTGTATGGTGTTGAAGCGTGACTCCATTTCCCACTGAATCCCAACCAGAGAAACATGCATTCTCAAAAAGCTCTTCTCAAGCTAAAAACAAAAGCAGTACTTCTCTCCACTCCCAGCTCCAGATGCCCAAGCCCTCAACCCACTCTCGGTAACTCCTTCCTAAGCCCAAAGGGTTAAGGATACCTGGCTCAAAAGCAGAGGGTGGGAAAGGAAAGTGACCTTTGGCACCGGCTGTCAAAGATCCTTAAAAGCGTCATTCAGACAAAATACCACCAAGTCTCCAAACTGTTTCTTCTGGGCCTCAAGACCCCCACTAGCCCCCGGGACTTGGAGACAACAAGGAGAAACCAGCAGGCAGAAATTACAGGTAGTTAGAACCGTATGTTCCACAGGTCCTGCTTTGAACCCCCTAAAATGCCACAGGTGCCATGAAGGCAAGGACATTCTCTCCAAGGAACCCAGAAGAACACTGGGCGCACAGCAGATGCTGGATGAAAGCGTGCAAAGTGAGCTGAATCCTGCCAGGAGGCCATGCACAGGAGGTCTTGCTGGGCAACACGGGAGGTTCTGAAGGTCCTGAAGGGAGGTGGCAGCCAAGCTCGTGTGCTTCTCCATGCTGTCTCCTAGGATCAGTCTTGAGATGATCCAGATGCTCACACCCTGGCCAGTCTCCTGGGGTGGCTGAACCCCTGTTGCATGGGCACGACAGGCTCCCCACTTAAAAGCTCCAGCCCGAGGACACAAAACCCAATCACCCCAGCTCCTGATAATAAGGTGCAACATTCAGGGCACCCGTTCTTCCAGGAAAAGTGCAAAAGCAAGTGGCTCCCACAGCTGCCTCCCTGGGGCCTCACATCCAGGAGGGAGAGCACAGGTCCACAGAGTTCCCTGGGAGGGTGAGGCCTAGGGGTTTTTTGGCAAAACATTTCCTTTGCCTACACAGCCTGACTGTCCCTGTAACACCTTCAGAGGCAGGAGGCAGACCAAAAGGTGTATGAGCCTGCCTTGCGGTGGCTGTGCAGCTGACAGGCAGCTCCAGCCTGGGGACTTTTCCCTCCGCCTCAGGGAGGGCCCTGCACTGCATCGCCTGGTCCATTCTTCATCAAGATACAAGAGTCTCCTGAAGGTTTTCACTGCCCCTTTACCCTTCGGCTACTAGAATCTAGGCTCCCTTTAATTCTAGGACAGGGGCACAGAAACAAATGAAAACAAACAAAACTGCCTGGAGGCACCTTTGTCCTCTCCGAAGGGCCTTCTCTCCTCTTCCACTGCTCCGGGTCCTCACCACACCCTGTGGAAAGCTGGTGAGGCCACATAGTTCTGAAAGGCCCTGGAGAGCACAGGGTGGGGTGGCTCCCGCGTGACACAGAAGCAGGATTCCACACGCACACAGGAAAGGCATTCTGGGGTCTCAGTCACAGGTTCTCTTCGACCCGCAGACCCCTCTTTCCACCCCACCCCATTCCAGAAGTCCCTGGGATCGTTGGCCTTGGGCAGGTGGATGGGTACTATCTAAACCGCAGGAATGGAAATGGAATGAACCGCCGGGTCTGCCTCAGTGTGTCCTGGGCGAGTCGCTGCTGCTCTGGGAGTCTTTCACGTTCTGTTTCCAGGAGAAAAGAGGGGTGGGGAAGGGGAATTATTTACTGTCAGCTGCGGTCTGAAGCTGATGACTAAAGCCATGCAACTGAGACTTTGCCCCACTCCCCAGACAAAGACCACAACCCTGGAAGATCATCACCACCAAACAGGTGGAGGAAAGCCCAGGCCTGCCCAGAAATGTGGCCAAGCTGAGCCCAGTCACAGGAGAGGGGGCTGGGAAAGACCAAGACAGGCCCTCGAGGTGCAGTGGCCTCACAGCTGCCTGGAGGTGGGAATGGAAGGTAGGGGATTGCAGGCAGCTCTTGTGGGCACAGTCATTCTGCGGAGCGCTGGGTGTAGCATTTAAGGGACCCTCTGGCTCATAGTCCTGTAGAACTGAGGGTGCTCCCTGCCCCCACCCAAGGAACCTTGCTGGCCCTGGCCAGGCAGAAGCCCCAGGTCTCCAAAGAAGCACAATGACTCTCCTCCCAACTTGGCTCAAACAGAGCTGCACACCCCAGTTTTTGGGATCCAGATTCTAGGGAACAAGGGCTTGGCAGCTATAACACAGGCACTGGGCTGGCTGGACGTGGCCTGGAAGCACCCAGGCAGGAAGCACACAGAGAAAGCATGTTGTCACTAAAGCTCTCTTCCATCCTAATAAAAGCAATCCTCCCAGGAGCCCCAGACCCAAGAAGCTGGCCAGTGTTAAAACTTTCTTTAAAAAAAAGGTTCTTCAGTCAGCTGGGGACAGATGGCCGCTTTACCTAACCTTAATCCACCTTACAAAATAAAGGAAATAAAATTTCTAAAAGTGTTCACTCTCATCCTGAGTCTCTCCTCCAAGACTGTCTTATTGGATGTGGGGGTGGAACCTGGGCAGACAGATACATAAGGTACACCATGGCCCACTCCTGGCCCAGGCAGAACCGAGGGCCCACGGACAAATCTCTGGAAGCACTGAAGCCTACGCCCAGCTCTGAGCAAGCCTCTGGCTCGGCTCTGCAGCGATAAGATCATGAGACAGGCTTGGTGAATGGGGGTCTCCTGGGCAGGGCCCTGTCACCTCACAGCCAGAGAGAACCCAGCCAACTTGTGGGGTCACAGAATAAGGTGATGCCATGTCCCTGTGCAGCGTTGGCTCCAACCGCCCGTGGACATATCAAGCCCAAGGCTTTGAACACCCACGAATGATGGCAATGCAACAATGACAGTGGGGACCGCAGGCACAGGCTGTCAAATCATTCACTGTGGTGCCCCTGGCTCAGGACACATGGAGGGACAGGAGTTAACAAAGAAGACCTGGAGACAATGGTGCTGCTCTTAAAAAAAATACAAATTGTGGCAGGGGTTGCATGTGTCACAGACTTCACGATGACCAGGTGGTGGAGATGCCATGACTCAGAGATGTAGAGGGGACAAAGAGGGACATGCACTGAGCCATTTACCTTTCCAAGGTTAGTAAGGAGAAAACTTTGAGAAAATGTGACAGACAGTTCGTCTTTCAAGCATAGTGGGTGAAAAGAAAGAAACATGTTGGAAACAAGAAAAACAAAACATTTTTAGTACTATTTTCTCTGCAGTGTGCATCTGAAATTTAAAAAGCAAGGATGCATTGTGAATGCCAACGGGCGGTGGGCCCCGTGCACTAATGCAGGCCCGGTGGAGGGCAGCAGGGACCTGTGTCCGCCCAGGTATCATACCTGTTTTACCAGGAAACTTGAGCACTTGCATCCTCAGGAAACCACCTGGGACCCCTGGGGCTCCCCCACCCACCCTGTCTCTTGATGCTCCTGCTGCTCATGAGAAGAAATCCCACTGGCCTGCACAGAAGGAACAGGAGGGCCTCAAATGCAGGGTGGTGTGCACATCCAAGAGCCCTGGACACCCCTGCCAGAGCACAGGGCACCGACTCTGCTATGGTAACAGCTATTGTCCCCTGGCACTGACTGTGTGCCAGATATTTTGCAGAGTGCTACATCTATATTCTCATTATCAAATCACCTGTAACACACTCTCTCTACTTCATAGATGAGGAGGCTGAAGCCTTAGAATTGCATTACCTTGCTGGAGTTTCCAAGACAGAGAATAGAACCCAGATCCAAACCCAGCTTGATGTGAACTCAATAATAAATTGGGTATGTGCAGTCCCATACATAGGCTCACACTCCCAGGCGGGGCTGGACACTGGGATCCCAGAGAGGAGTGCAAGTGTGACGGGTCCAGAGAGTACATTTTTGCAGAACTGGAGGGATTCTGGCCAAGGGCACTATTAGCCTCAGAAAAGGACCAGTTCAACTGTAGAAGGTGCGGCATGAGCCTGAATGGCTCCTCCCAGTAGGAAGATTTTCTTGGCAACATCAGTCTAGGGGTCAAAGAAACAGGCCATGCACACATGTAAAAGCCTCCAAATCCAAGGGCTAGCGTTTACACAACGCTGGAGCATTCTGTGCACATTACCTGCCTCCAGGGGGTAACAGACATGGGATTGTTCTCTCACAGGCTGAATTGAATGGACAGACCCACCATTAAGTCAACATGCCTCAGCCACAGGAAGCAGCTGCATGGGAGAGGCTACAAGAGCAGAAAAGGAAATCAAACCACTCTAGGCAGTACCTCACACATAGCAAATGTCAGGTGTCAGGGACAGGGGTGATGAACAGTACCTTGGCTGTTCCCAGAAAGCAGCAGACAGACAGCAGCTCTAGTCCTGGTTCTGCTACTAAGCTGATGACCACTGGTGAGTGACTTAACCTTGACCCCCCTTGGTCAACAGGGATGTTAGTTAACTGCCCTGTGGCCTCCTGGGGTTATTTTAAGGACTGAAAGACAGTAGATGTGTGCCAGCTAACTCCCCCTATAAAGCCAGACACGGGATGCGTCTCGCTACAGGTGATGCCACCCAATCTAAGCATAAGGCCAAACATCCCTATTTTCTCAGAACAAGCCACGCATTTACGTTTATCAGACTGAACTCCTCAAGCTGTTTCAGTTACTGCATGGGTTAGTTATGGCAACCTAAGCAGCAAAGAGAAGCCGCCAGGCATGACTGAGGAGCTGGAGAGGGTGGTGCTACTAAAACCCCAAGTTCCTGCTGTGGCTGGTGGCCTTAGAAGCAGTGGAAATGCTGAATTACCCAGCAGCTGCTCTAGCTAACTCCAGAGAGCTCCAGCTGAAGGGACAGGGAAACTGGTGATCTGATTCAAAAGCTGCACCCAATTCTGAGCAGGTTCCCACAGTGGACAATGGTTCAGATAGACCTCTCCAGAGCACAGCGTCCTGGAGCCCCTTGGGTAGGGTGGCCCCACCAGGAAGTGGGTGAACTACAGGGCTCCACCCCACCGCTCCACACCAGTGTGTCCACCTCTATTTGTTTTGCAGATTAGGCTCTGGGTAAAATAAATTTTCCTGCCAAAATGAAAGAGCTCTCTTAGGAGAAGCACGGAACTCAAAAAGACAAAGGGAGCTGGCGAGGGCCTAGTTTACCACCAAAATGTGACACTAAGAGGAAAAATCTAGACTTATATCAGGCCAGACCCCTGCACGTGCTCACAATAACCTGGGATCCCGAGAGGGAATGGGAGGACCACTGAGCAGGGCAGCACCAGCACGATGGAGCTCAGCTGGCATCCTACTTCAGTCCCTTTTCTAACAATTTCTGAATCTCCTTCTCCCTCCCTCTTATTTCACAAAATTGTCATTATTCTCAACATTTTAATAGGCAGAGGGCTAAACTGGCAAGCAAGGAGAAAAAGGTGTGAGCAGCAAAATTATTCAGAGAAAAATACTTACAAACAAGCTTTCCCTAGCAAAGGCTGCAGAGAGAAAAAGTTGAGAGAGAAGTCAGCAGAGACACAGGGTACAGGACCCAAGTCACCTGAAACCAGGACATCCTGTGGGGATAAAGCCCCGCGAGCCTCCCAGCCTGGCCCAGACTTCCTGAGGATTTGGTTCAGCAGCCCCCCCAAGGACTGTCCTGTCAAAGTTGGGGGAGCCCTGGGCCTGGTAGCCCCACACACGACCCCACCCTGGCCATGGTCCAGCCCCCCAAGCGTCTGTGACAGCAGCCTCTGAATTCCCACAGGGTCACACCAGGTTGAGAACCACCTCAGTTCTCAGTTTTATTCAACAAAAACCACCTCTGGCTTTAGGCCTAAAAGGAATGTTAATTAGTTATTTCCTACTCCTACCCTCTCACTTTAAAAGATAAGAGGAGTGAAGGCCAGGGAGGTGACAATAAAATCCTGCTGGTGCCAGTGTCAGGCACAATTGAAGTAGACACTTGGCACAAATGACCTTATTGACCAGCCTTTGGCCATAGGTGCTATTCCCCTATTCCACAGATAAGAAAACTGAGTGAGGCCTGAACAGGTTCAGGACCTGCCAGAGGCTGCACAGCACTCTCCCCACATCCATTTCCAGACACCACCAGATATAATGGGCTTTGGAGAAATGCAGGAAGGATTGCAGGCCACAGCCCCGGGATCTTAAACACAAAATGTAGCCCGTGATTTATTTCTAAGAGACCAGGCATGGCTGAGGGGGAGTTGAGGGGTGCCTGGGTATGACCCAATTTTGTGGGTGGGGATCTCTGCATCTCATATACTGGCAAGGTTCTTGGCTGTTGCTGAGGAAAAGACTGGTTTTCTGGGACCAATACTGCCCAGTAGCCAGTATCTTTCAGTCTTTAATCTTCACAGTGTATGAAGTGAAATCTAGTTGTTTTTTTGCTTTCCGGTTTTTCACTACCTCAAGTAGGTATGTTGTGTAAGAAAGTGGCTATTTCCAGGTCACCTGACCCTGGGAGTCAGGCTGCCCGGGGCTTGACCCAGCAGTGCTAGCTGCAGAGGACATGCTCTGAGGACTCCCGTCTGATAGAGCTCTCCTGTAACAGAGTGATAGCACAGGAGGAAGTGAATAATATGAGTAGTGGGCCTGGGACACAGAAGATATCCTCCAACCACAGCCCAGAGCCAAATGGAGCCTCTGGCACTGGTGTTTTGCTTTAACTGTTTAAGAAAAACTATTCACTAATGTAAATGGGACAGACACTTGGCCATTTCCTGTGCTGGGAAGAGAGGCATGCATACTCAGCCATGCTCAGCACACAGGGACCTCCCAGCGTCACAACCCTGAGGGCTTCCCTGAGTTCTCTCCCCACACTGCGCCCCCACTGGGCGATCCCCACCCTTCCATACTCCAGACTCGCTCACAAGGGAGGACTGGGCGAACGCACTTGTCCGGGCAGCGGCGCGGGCACCTCCGGGGGCAGGCAGTCAGGCAGGGCAGTGGAGGTGGGAGCCACATGCTCCTCAAAGCTGCTGATGCGAGGCTTTTTGGTGGGCTCGGGGCTGGCTAGTGGGGTGACACTATTGCGCCTCATGAGCGGGGTAGGGCCCTTCTTGGCATCCTAAGCGAGACAAAGACAAAAGAGAGAAGGCGACAGTTACGAGGAGGGAAGGTAAATAAGCTGCAAAACCAAAACCTAAGAAGCCCTGCTTCCCTGCTCCCGGATTTCACTGACAAGACCGATCCCATTCCAGAGGACATGGGGTCGCTGTTCTGTCCTGAGTTTGGGCGAGAACAAGGGGTGACCTCCCTGGGCCCCATTCATGAGTCATTCCAAAATACCCATGGGAACAATCACAATGTTCCCGAAGCAGCAGAGGGAGGAAGAGCATACAGAGGATGATGAGGTTGCGAGGGAGCCCAAGGAAGGAGGCAGAGAGGCCGGGGCCTGAGACTCAGGCAACCCCCTAGAGGACAGCAGAATGGAAGGGAAGGGCTGGGCCATGCCAACCCCCTCCACTGGCACCAGCCAGGATCTGCAGCACTGTCAGGAGCAGCCACTGCTCCCATAACTACCCCCAGCTCAAGACAGTCAACGCGAGCTTCCACCCCAGCCAGGGGACTACAGATGCAGAAGACCCAAGGGAGGCAGGAACGGCCAAGCCAGCGCCAAACACCAGCCCTCCAACTGAGCCGTGACCGGAGCAGAGCCTGTAAAGTCCCCAAGGCCTGTCACTCTGTAACTCATGGCCCAGGAGCCTGAGCTGGGGTCTGTCTCCACCAAGACGCTGCCCTGGTTCTGCACAGTGAAGTGTCCAGAGGGCACAGGAGCTGGGTTCGGGCCTGCACCCACTGCAGGAGTCAGGCTGGCAGCTACCACTCAGAGCCGAAGTCAGTGCGGCCTCTGCTCCCTGGGTCAGAGGGGACAGTGCAGAGCCAAGGGAGCCAGCCTCGCTCATTTCAGTCAGTTAGCCAGGCAACTGCCAGAGGGAGCTGGGTTTTATGCCAAAGCCTTCCAAGCAACTTGGGAAAAGGTAAGTGTCCTGCACAGAGGGAGTGTCACACTCGATATAAAAGAAAGGCGCCGGCAAAGCCCTGCAGCTGACAGTTGGTATAAAGCAAGTCTAAACTGGCTTTCACAACACACACCTGGCAGAAATCCACTCTGCGGTCGGGACATCCAATGGGGCTGACCATCAAACCTCAACCTCCCCCAGTGGCAGTTGGAAGCAACCGGGCACCAGGGGGTCCTGCCACAACTTCCCACCCACCATCCATCCTGCCTGTTTCACAAATCCTGTTTGCTCTCTAGCCCACGTTCTCTGTCCCAACTTTGTCTTCCCTAAAATCCCGTACCTAGGTACACACAGGTGACGGAGCACACCTGCCAGTCCTGCTTTACCCAGGAATCTAGACCATGGAAGGAGCGTCAGACACCCCAAAGTGAAAGGCAGGAGTTACACTCAGAGCAGTGTGCATCTCCCTCTGTCATGCTCACTTCTAGGGTCAAGTAGGAATGGGGAAGAAAACATGGAAAGAAAGAAAAAGAAGGTGCCAAGAAGCCACCAGAAAGACAAAGTAGAAACACATGGATCCTGAGAAAAGTCCAGAAGGCTGGCCGATTCAATTGATTCCGGGAGAGCCGGCCGCTGACACAGACCCACTGTGCTGCAACACAATCAGGGGCTTCCCCAGTGTGCAAATCACTGTCCTATCACACGACAGTCCTCTGGTGGAGGACAGGATGGGGAGAAGGAGTGGACGCTCCAGCTAACACCCACCTCCGACCTCTCCCGGTGCGTGTTCACTGACTCCACGTTCAGGTAGATGGATTCTACCCGGCAACCTGGATGAGGGTGGGAGAGAGGTCGGCTTCAGGTTAAAGGAGAAGGCCCTGATGGCCCCATGGCCACCAGGGCAGCAGGCTGGGCAGGGGCTATGGCAGGCTCTCACCGTAGGCAACGGGCGTCAGTTTCAGGACGGTGTGGAGGGGGCACTTCAGGTAAGGCATCTCCTCTGGAGAGAAGAGAAGGGCTCCACTCTTAGATAGGAGATTGGAGGGCAGCACTCGCCCCCAGGAGAGCATCTGTCACACCGGTCCCCGCAGGTCCCAGCCTCGGGGCCTCCTGCTCAAGGCAGGTGGCCCTAGAAAAGAGGCCCAGCCTAAAGGATGAAACCAAAACCGACCCAAGCCCACCCTCCTACAATGACCTAAATTAAACAGACAACTCATTCCCCAAGCAGCACGGGTGTGTCAAGGTTCAGCTGATCCTTGGACCAGCACAGACGAACTCTATAAAGAGTTTCATTATAGTTCTCTGGGCTCGCTGTTCCTGAGAGGTGGCTGCCCTTCCCCACACAACCCAAAGCCCCTGAGCTGTGAGTGGATGGGGGCTTTCGGAGGCTGTTTCAAGAAGCAGGGAGGCCCATCGTACATCAAACTGCTCTGGCGAGTTTCCCAAGGGAAGGCCAGAGGCCTTCCCTAACACTCAGCTGCCCAGCATACCATCTGTGAAGGCTGGGTGAGGAAGATGGGTCTGTAGCACCCCAAACTCAAAGGCTCCTTTCCCTCCCTCCCTTTGGGGCCGCAACCAGACCCCAGTGCCCCAGGAGAAGCAGCTTCGGGGCCAGGGGCACCTGCGCTCTTGTCCAGGAAGTAGGCCAGGAGACAGCGCAGGACAGCCTGGTGGCAGATGACCAGCACGTTCTCCTGCCGCTCCAGCTCCATGATCACTGGCTCCAGGCGCTGGACCAGGTCCTGGTAGGACTGAAAGACAGAGGGACAGGGTGCTGTAGGGGGGCAGGGATGCCAGCAGAATGGGAGCTTTGCCTCCTGTCATTATAAACCACGCACAACCAATCAATCAACTGATCGCCTCTGTGGTTTTGGTGCTGCACCCCTTATGGCACCGGGGGCCCCAACGTAACCAGCTTCCTAGAAAAGGGAAGTCACCTGCATGTGGGAAGGGTGTGAGGAGTAATGCTCCAAGAGGAACATAGGCCTGTCACCCTCTCTCACTCCTTCCCTTCCCGAGTCCTCTACACAGGGGAGGGCACAACCCTACACAATCCTGACACCCACTATGATGTAGATGGGCCTTGAAAACATTATACCGTGATGGACGTTAGACACAAAAGACCGCACACTGCACAATTATTTCCCCTGATAGGAAGCGTCCAGCACAGGCAACTCCAGAGACAGGAAGTAGACCAATGGTTGTCAGGGGCTAGATGGGAGGGACTGGGATTGACCCCCAAAGGATGGGGTTTCTTCTTGGAGTTACGGAATATTCTAGAGTTAGTGGTGATGACTGCATGGCACTGTAAATATACTAAAAGCCACTGAACTGTACACTTAAAAAATGGTTAAAATGGTGAATTTTGCATTATGTGAATTTTTTCTCAATAGAAAGAAATTGAAAAACAAGGGGCAAGCCTGTGATTTTGAGACCACCTGGACTCCCACTCACACAATTGTCTCTGAATGCCCTTCCTCTTCCTAAGCAGATTCCAGGGCATGAGGGCATTCTGTCTGAGACAAGAGGGCAACACCCAGGCATGAGGGATAATAAGACAAAGGCTGAGCTGGCTGTGGACAGGAAGGACCCCCATGGGGTGTCCCCATACTGAGACCTGCAGCTGACCCAAGACCACCTCATGCTGGACTCTCCATCTGGTGCTCCAAGCAGCTGCTCACTCAGCCAAAGTGGGCTGGCTACACAGGCCCTTGGGGGTGCCTCCATCACTGTCAGCATAGTCTACACGAGACATGTCCACCAGCGCCATCCCACCCGCAGGCCAGGAGAGCCCTCGTGCCGAGGGAACCATCACGCATGATGTCACTCTTCCCTGCATGCTTACTGGAGATGTACCTCTCACTGTTGCTCACAGGAAAATACAAGCTTCTCTTGGAGCTGTTCAGAGGGCTCAAATTAGAAGACCCAATTCAAAGGTGAACTTCCTGGATGAGCATGGGACAGCTCCAGGCTTGGATGTCAGAACCTGCCCCTGAGCACATGGCTCACAGTACTGTCATCAGTAATGGGTCCATCAGATCCCACACCCTCTCCTGGCCTTGGAAGGACTGTTAGGAGCCCCTCCATGAATAGCACACACCTGGTCATTGCCCCGCGTGAGCCAAGGAGTTGGGGATGGAGGGAGAGCGGTGTGGACCTGCCAGCTCACATACCTCCCCGGTGGGGTAGCGGTAGTAATATTTGTCCTGCTCTCGCAGGACGTACTCCTCAGGGTAGGTGTCCTTGATCTCCTCGTAGGTCATCTCCTCACAAACGCCCTAGCAGAAACACCCAGGTCACTCAAGGAGAATGCCCCAAATGGCCTCCTAGAGGTGGTTGATGCAGCACGTGTGGATCTGAAAGCACTCTCGGGACCTCGGGCACACTTGGTGGGAAGAGGCCACCTATCTGGCTCCCACCCCCAGGTCAGAGCCACAGCCAGACTCACAGCATCGATTTCGTTGAGCGCCTTCCACTGCTCATAGGGAAGCTGAAGGGCTTCTGCCGTCTGGATGGTACTTTTCAGCTGGCTGGTCCACACCCTGAGATCCTTTAGGTTCTGCTCCTCCACAAACGTGCTCAGAGCGTTGGCAAACTGAGAGGGCACATACTGGACTCAGGTACCTGCTCCTCTTGGAGAGGCAGTGTGGGACTCCTTCCCACTGCACGTCAGGGGCGTGCCACTGTGATGTCATTGCAATGTGAGGAGGACTAAGAACAGCTGGGGACACTCTCTCCAGCCCCTTTCTTCAAGCTGCCGCCATGCCCCTACCCCTCTCCTACCTTCCTGCCCCTGCTGGACAGGCCCGAGTCTCCTCCGATCTTCCCCTGAAGGTTGTGCTCACTCTCTCCGTGCCGACACAGGTAGATGGTACGAGGCTGCACGTGGATATTCATCAGGTAGTACACAATTCGGCTCTGAATGTGGTCCTGAACTCTGTTCACCAAGAATCGCCGGCCCACATCGATCACCTTAATTAGGGATAGATCCCTGCATAGAAGGCAACCAGCTAATTAGAACACCCCCAGCAGCCCAGCCAGCCTAGTGTAAATCCCCAGCCCGGACCTAGTACAGGCTCAGCCCCCACAGAAGCACATCGGGCTGTGAGCTCCCTGAGGGCACAGACTGAATCTGCTTCCTTCGCAAGTTAGAGAGCACGAGTGGGCTTTGTCTATGGCAGCGTGTGTGGTCAGAAGGCTGGCTGACCTCTCAGAAGAGGGGGAGAGAAGAGACAGAATGGAAAGGAAGTAAACTATCACGGGGAGAGGAGGAACACTAGGCTCAAATATTCACTCTCCAGATGTTCTGCTTAGTGTCTGAAATAGTTACCCTGAATATGTCATCAAGGCTTTTTTATAAAGGTATTTTAAAGGAGAGTTTATTAAAGTATCTAGGAGCAGATGATTTGTGGGAACACCAAGAAAACATTAGAAGCCCTCAAGTAGATGATTCAGAGATGACCACCTCTTAGGAAATACCTGTCACATTTATCCGGGTCCAGAGGCTGATAACTGGCCTCATAGCAACTAATTCTCTTCATGAAGTCATCTGTAGCTTCTGCTGAGTTGCAGTCCTTGTAATCCGGGCTGGAGATTTTTACTTCCTGCAATGCCACAAAGAGGCAGCTGATGAATCATGCTGGGGGCTTTCTGCTTAGACAAAGCAGGATTTGGGGCTTACAACCAGGGAGTACAGACAGGATCAGAATAACAATGATCCCACCCAGCAATTAAGAGAAAAAAGAAGTACTCTGGGGGCTGAGTCACAGCCCTATAATTACAGGGGGAATCACTGTCGGTGGGAAGGGAGGCAGACACAGGAAGCCAGGAGGACTCTAATGGACACCTCTGAAGGGCCACAGTTCGGGGTCAGTCCTGTAGCCAAGTCACAAGCAGACAGCCTGGTTCCTCAATTCACCTGGGTTCCACATAAGCATATAAAACCTTCCCCACATGGTGAGTAGGCTTGTCAGTTAGCAGAGGGGCACTGGGAAGTTGCCAGCAATGCCCCTGGCCCTGCATGCCAGGCAGGTTTCCTCCTCCACCACCCACAGGGGCAACACATGCTTGGAACTGGTCCCTGATTGACGCTGCTCTACCACACACCCAGTCTTTTCCAAGGTTTACTCTCATGGGAAGGAGATGGCGGAGAAACACCTGGGCCTGTGGTCCTCTATAACTGAGCAACAGGTCTGAGAAAGCTGGCAGATTTTGGGGAAACTCAGAATTTTTACTGATGAGCTCTTTTCTTCCACAACCACTACCATGGCCATGGCAGAGAAGCAGCCACTCTGCAAAAACCCAAGTTCAATGGGGACCTGCTGCTTCCTGGGTGCAGAGTCTCAGTCTGGGAAGATGAAAAGTTCTGGAGATGGATGGTGGCGATGGTTGCACAACACAAGAATGTGCTGAATGCCACAAAATTGAACACTTATAAATGGCTCAGATGGTAAATTTTATGTTGTGTTTGCCACCAAAAAAAAAATCTAAGTTCATGAATTGTTTTCTTTGCAAAACAGCCACCACATGAAGAGCACAGTGGAAAGCGTAGGCTGCCAAGAGGCTGTGAGACTTAATCAGAGAACGAGATTTCTGAACACAGAGGGTCAGGCAAATAATGGTTTGACAGAGCACAAGCTAAACAGTGAGCTTCTTAGCCAAGCACATGGTGACTGTTCATGGGGAGAAAGAGGCTACAGCTGCACTTTGCTTCACAAGTAGAATGTAAAACCAAAAAAAAAAAAAAACCAGACAGTAAAGCTCTTTGGTTAGATAGATTATGGCAACTTCTATTTCCTCATGCTTTGAGCCTCTAGGACCTGCTGAAACTAATCTGGACTGCTTTTCCACAAGTTGAATAGCCCTTCCTTAAATACGAACTCATTTCTTAGAAATGTTTGTAAATATCCCCACTTCCTTGGAGAAAAAGTCCCATACCAGAAGCTAGAAAGTGCTCAGCATCCCTGGAAGGTGCACACTTGTACATGGCACTACCACAGCGATTCCCCCGGATCTATCAGACCCACTTTCCCTTGATACGTGTCACTCTAATGTATTTATGCTGGACAGAAAATTATCTGTCCCATGAGAATATGACTTGTGGTAAAGTCTTCATAGCAACCATTGCTGCTTATGGTATATTGTTGACAAGTGAATTAATTTAAGAATTGATCAAATTAAGCTGCCAATTACCCTCAGCTTATCCAGGCAACTTCCCACTGGCACAGGAACAGGGGAGGGTATGGCTGTAGGTACATCAGTAGGAAGGTAGTTTTACCATCCCCGTTCTTCCCAAACTTGGGGATTCTGCCTTTAGTCTGCTGAATCCTATGTGATTCTATCAGTATACAACCATTCTCACCTACAAGGACCTTAACAGCAGAAGCCACCAGCCTGCTCCCTCCTTTCCACTGAGGGGGAACTGTCCTTTGCCCCAAGTAGCCACATTACCACCCAGATGCCACGTTACTGCCACCCACAGAAACTGTTCCAGATATCTGCTTTATCTCTTATGTCCCACAAAGGCATCTTTCTGCCCACTGTCTGAAAGCACCCTGGATAAAGCCACTCCAGGTCACAGAATGTGCTTCTAAGTTAATCACTGCTCTGCACTCCAGACCTCCCCAGATCCCACCTCTAAGACAAAACCACAAGCTGGAAGAGCCAGCTTGTTCTCAGGGTCTAGTTACTCCTCCAGGCCTGACCTGGCTTCCCACCCTTCTCAGACTGCCAGGCTAGAGTCCTGCATTGTCTTACCATGATGTTGGAAGCTACGACTGTAGGGTCATCACACACAGACTCGATAAAGAATACCTAGAAAACAACAAATACAGAAACACAATGGGCCAGCTTTGGGATTGTGTAATGTTATCAGCCATTCCAGGAGGAAGGACCCCATTCATAATCCCCAAATACATAGAAGAACCACCTGCTCAATCCCGAGTCCTTGTCCTCCCCAACAGAGGACGCTCCTCCCTCCTTAAGAGCCCCCAGTAGGAGGGCCCAATCTGCAGGCAGCAAATGAGGGCAGTGGGAGATGAAGCGCCAAGCATGGAGCAGAGGTGCCCCCAACACAGGAATCAGCCCACTGCTGAGCGATTTTCCTCGCTCCTGAGTGTTCCGAGGTAAAACAAGGAGTCTGGCTCACCTTGAAACCATTTTCTTTGGCAAAATGAAGAATCATATGTCTCCTCTCTCTAGTAGTATTGGTGGCATCGAAAACCTAATAGGGAGAAAGAAAGGCTAGTGATAATCCAAGTCTGAGTTTAACAATATTTAGCAAACCAATGAAGTAGGTCAGGTATTGCCACCTCCAGGAATAAGCCAAAAATATGGTTCCAGGAGAGACTGTGCCCTGCCCATTGTCCCCACCTCCAGAACTCAGGGACGGAAGGGGAGGGGTAGGCAGGGTCCTGAGAGCAAAGGGACAATAGTAATATGCAGAGAAGCATGCCCATGGAGGGGACCCTGGCTGCCCCAAGCCTTGTCTGTCTCATGGGTGCTGCCTGGCTACACACCAGCTGGTGCCCCTGAGTCTGCCCCTAATGCCCTCCTTCCTGGGTCCTTATGCTGCTCTGGCCACCTGCTTCCCTCACCTTGCAGGCCAGAGGCTTCTGTCCCCATTTGAGGTGTCCCCACAATAGCTCTCAGCACTGCTCAGGCCAGTCTACGTGTCCCTCTTTCCAGGGCACCATCCCACCCCAGCCTGGAGATGGACTGATGTGTTCCCAGACTTACTGCCATTTGGCCCCCCTCCTTCACCAGGTAACTTTCGACATCTCTCAAGGCAGCCAGAGCACACTGCCTACAACACACAGAAAGAGAATGCCTGCCTCAGGGCCGGTCCAGTCCACGGGGAGCCCAAGTAACCGCCCCCTCCCCCCTAAGCAGAGTAACTAGCAATCCGACTGCTCTGCTGCTCAGGCCGGCCAGGGCTGCCCGGTCGGAGCTCTGCCAAACACAGCTGTGGTCACCCTCGAAAAGGGGGCTCATGCCAGGCTGCACACTGAGATCCCCAAGGGGCTTTTAAAAGACTGATGCCCAGGTCCCACCCACAGATTCTCACTTTCCTGCTCTAGGGTAGGGCTGGCATCGGATCTTTCCAAGATCCCAGGTGACCCTAAAGTGCAGCCAGGGTTGAACACCACTGCACTTAGGTTTCATGATCACTTGGGCTTAAAAAAAATTCCCTTTCAAATATGAACAGATGATTTCCCTTCTCTGAATTTTGTTCATTCTTAATGAGTAATAGTTGATCTGTACCACATCAGCTGAATCCAACCACCTCCGAGTGGATGGGTGGAAGGAACGAGCCTCAGAGAGACCAGGAGACTTGTCCAAAGACACACATAGATCAGGCCCCAGGGGAGAGCCACGGCAGGCCAGCTTCCTCTGTTACAGAACCTGGCTTTCAAAAGCAAACATGGAGATGTACCTCTCACTGTTGCTCACAGGAAAATACAAGCTTCTCTTGGAGCTGTTCAGAGGGCTCAAATTAGAAGACCCAATTCAAAGGTGAACTTCCTGGAAGAGCATGGGACAGCTCCAGGCTTGGATGTCAGAACCTGCCCCTGAGCACATGGCTCACAGTACTGTCATCAGTAATGGGTCCATCAGATCCCACACCCTCTCCTGGCCTTGGAAGGACTGTTAGGAGCCCCTCCATGAATAGCACACACCTGGTCATTGCCCCGCGTGAGCCAAGGAGTTGGGGATGGAGGGAGAGCGGTGTGGACCTGCCAGCTCACATACCTCCCCGGTGGGGTAGCGGTAGTAATATTTGTCCTGCTCTCGCAGGACGTACTCCTCAGGGTAGGTGTCCTTGATCTCCTCGTAGGTCATCTCCTCACAAACGCCCTAGCAGAAACACCCAGGTCACTCAAGGAGAATGCCCCAAATGGCCTCCTAGAGGTGGTTGATGCAGCACGTGTGGATCTGAAAGCACTCTCGGGACCTCGGGCACACTTGGTGGGAAGAGGCCACCTATCTGGCTCCCACCCCCAGGTCAGAGCCACAGCCAGACTCACAGCATCGATTTCGTTGAGCGCCTTCCACTGCTCATAGGGAAGCTGAAGGGCTTCTGCCGTCTGGATGGTACTTTTCAGCTGGCTGGTCCACACCCTGAGATCCTTTAGGTTCTGCTCCTCCACAAACGTGCTCAGAGCGTTGGCAAACTGAGAGGGCACATACTGGACTCAGGTACCTGCTCCTCTTGGAGAGGCAGTGTGGGACTCCTTCCCACTGCACGTCAGGGGCGTGCCACTGTGATGTCATTGCAATGTGAGGAGGACTAAGAACAGCTGGGGGACACTCTCTCCAGCCCCTTTCTTCAAGCTGCCGCCATGCCCCTACCCCTCTCCTACCTTCCTGCCCCTGCTGGACAGGCCCGAGTCTCCTCCGATCTTCCCCTGAAGGTTGTGCTCACTCTCTCCGTGCCGACACAGGTAGATGGTACGAGGCTGCACGTGGATATTCATCAGGTAGTACACAATTCGGCTCTGAATGTGGTCCTGAACTCTGTTCACCAAGAATCGCCGGCCCACATCGATCACCTTAATTAGGGATAGATCCCTGCATAGAAGGCAACCAGCTAATTAGAACACCCCCAGCAGCCCAGCCAGCCCAGTGTAAATCCCCAGCCCGGACCTAGTACAGGCTCAGCCCCCACAGAAGCACATCGGGCTGTGAGCTCCCTGAGGGCACAGACTGAATCTGCTTCCTTCGCAAGTTAGAGAGCACGAGTGGGCTTTGTCTATGGCAGCGTGTGTGGTCAGAAGGCTGGCTGACCTCTCAGAAGAGGGGGAGAGAAGAGACAGAATGGAAAGGAAGTAAACTATCACGGGGAGAGGAGGAACACTAGGCTCAAATATTCACTCTCCAGATGTTCTGCTTAGTGTCTGAAATAGTTACCCTGAATATGTCATCAAGGCTTTTTTATAAAGGTATTTTAAAGGAGAGTTTATTAAAGTATCTAGGAGCAGATGATTTGTGGGAACACCAAGAAAACATTAGAAGCCCTCAAGTAGGTGATTCAGAGATGACCACCTCTTAGGAAATACCTGTCACATTTATCCGGGTCCAGAGGCTGATAACTGGCCTCATAGCAACTAATTCTCTTCATGAAGTCATCTGTAGCTTCTGCTGAGTTGCAGTCCTTGTAATCCGGGCTGGAGATTTTTACTTCCTGCAATGCCACAAAGAGGCAGCTGATGAATCATGCTGGGGGCTTTCTGCTTAGACAAAGCAGGATTTGGGGCTTACAACCAGGGAGTACAGACAGGATCAGAATAACAATGATCCCACCCAGCAATTAAGAGAAAAAAGAAGTACTCTGGGGGCTGAGTCACAGCCCTATAATTACAGGGGGAATCACTGTCGGTGGGGAGGGAGGCAGACACAGGAAGCCAGGAGGACTCTAATGGACACCTCTGAAGGGCCACAGTTCGGGGTCAGTCCTGTAGCCAAGTCACAAGCAGACAGCCTGGTCCTCAATTCACCTGGGTTCCACATAAGCATATAAAACCTTCCCCACATGGTGAGTAGGCTTGTCAGTTAGCAGAGGGGCACTGGGAAGTTGCCAGCAATGCCCCTGGCCCTGCATGCCAGGCAGGTTTCCTCCTCCACCACCCACAGGGGCAACACATGCTTGGAACTGGTCCCTGATTGACGCTGCTCTACCACACACCCAGTCTTTTCCAAGGTTTACTCTCGTGGGAAGGAGATGGCGGAGAAACACCTGGGCCTGTGGTCCTCTATAACTGAGCAACAGGTCTGAGAAAGCTGGCAGATTTTGGGGAAACTCAGAATTTTTACTGATGAGCTCTTTTCTTCCACAACCACTACCATGGCCATGGCAGAGAAGCAGCCACTCTGCAAAAACCCAAGTTCAATGGGGACCTGCTGCTTCCTGGGTGCAGAGTCTCAGTCTGGGAAGATGAAAAGTTCTGGAGATGGATGGTGGCGATGGTTGCACAACACAAGAATGTGCTGAATGCCACAAAATTGAACACTTATAAATGGCTCAGATGGTAAATTTTATGTTGTGTTTGCCACCAAAAAAAAAATCTAAGTTCATGAATTGTTTTCTTTGCAAAACAGCCACCACATGAAGAGCACAGTGGAAAGCGTAGGCTGCCAAGAGGCTGTGAGACTTAATCAGAGAACCAGATTTCTGAACACAGAGGGTCAGGCAAATAATGGTTTGACAGAGCACAAGCTAAACGGTGAGCTTCTTAGCCAAGCACATGGTGACTGTTCATGGGGAGAAAGAGGCTACAGCTGCACTTTGCTTCACAAGTAGAATGCAGAACCAAAAAAAAAAAAACCAGACAGTAAAGCTCTTTGGTTAGATAGATTATGGCAACTTCTATTTCCTCATGCTTTGAGCCTCTAGGACCTGCTGAAACTAATCTGGACTGCTTTTCCACAAGTTGAATAGCCCTTCCTTAAATAAGAACTCATTTCTTAGAAATGTTTGTAAATATCCCCACTTCCTTGGAGAAAAAGTCCCATACCAGAAGCTAGAAAGTGCTCAGCATCCCTGGAAGGTGCACACTTGTACATGGCACTACCACAGCGATTCCCCCGGATCTATCAGACCCACTTTCCCTTGATACGTGTCACTCTAATGTATTTATGCTGGACAGAAAATTATCTGTCCCATGAGAATATGACTTGTGGTAAAGTCTTCATAGCAACCATTGCTGCTTATGGTATATTGTTGACAAGTGAATTAATTTAAGAATTGATCAAATTAAGCTGCCAATTACCCTCAGCTTATCCAGGCAACTTCCCACTGGCACAGGAACAGGGGAGGGTATGGCTGTAGGTACATCAGTAGGAAGGTAGTTTTACCATCCCCGTTCTTCCCAAACTTGGGGATTCTGCCTTTAGTCTGCTGAATCCTATGTGATTCTATCAGTATACAACCATTCTCACCTACAAGGACCTTAACAGCAGAAGCCACCAGCCTGCTCCCTCCTTTCCACTGAGGGGGAACTGTCCTTTGCCCCAAGTAGCCACATTACCACCCAGATGCCACGTTACTGCCACCCACAGAAACTGTTCCAGATATCTGCTTTATCTCTTATGTCCCACAAAGGCATCTTTCTGCCCACTGTCTGAAAGCACCCTGGATAAAGCCACTCCAGGTCACAGAATGTGCTTCTAAGTTAATCACTGCTCTGCACTCCAGACCTCCCCAGATCCCACCTCTAAGACAAAACCACAAGCTGGAAGAGCCAGCTTGTTCTCAGGGTCTAGTTACTCCTCCAGGCCTGACCTGGCTTCCCACCCTTCTCAGACTGCCAGGCTAGAGTCCTGCATTGTCTTACCATGATGTTGGAAGCTACGACTGTAGGGTCATCACACACAGACTCGATAAAGAATACCTAGAAAACAACAAATACAGAAACACAATGGGCCAGCTTTGGGATTGTGTAATGTTATCAGCCATTCCAGGAGGAAGGACCCCATTCATAATCCCCAAATACATAGAAGAACCACCTGCTCAATCCCGAGTCCTTGTCCTCCCCAACAGAGGACGCTCCTCCCTCCTTAAGAGCCCCCAGTAGGAGGGCCCAATCTGCAGGCAGCAAATGAGGGCAGTGGGAGATGAAGCGCCAAGCATGGAGCAGAGGTGCCCCCAACACAGGAATCAGCCCACTGCTGAGCGATTTTCCTCGCTCCTGAGTGTTCCGAGGTAAAACAAGGAGTCTGGCTCACCTTGAAACCATTTTCTTTGGCAAAATGAAGAATCATATGTCTCCTCTCTCTAGTAGTATTGGTGGCATCGAAAACCTAATAGGGAGAAAGAAAGGCTAGTGATAATCCAAGTCTGAGTTTAACAATATTTAGCAAACCAATGAAGTAGGTCAGGTATTGCCACCTCCAGGAATAAGCCAAAAATATGGTTCCAGGAGAGACTGTGCCCTGCCCATTGTCCCCACCTCCAGAACTCAGGGACGGAAGGGGAGTGGTAGGCAGGGTCCTGAGAGCAAAGGGACAATAGTAATATGCAGAGAAGCATGCCCATGGAGGGGACCCTGGCTGCCCCAAGCCTTGTCTGTCTCATGGGTGCTGCCTGGCTACACACCAGCTGGTGCCCCTGAGTCTGCCCCTAATGCCCTCCTTCCTGGGTCCTTATGCTGCTCTGGCCACCTGCTTCCCTCACCTTGCAGGCCAGAGGCTTCTGTCCCCATTTGAGGTGTCCCCACAATAGCTCTCAGCACTGCTCAGGCCAGTCTACGTGTCCCTCTTTCCAGGGCACCATCCCACCCCAGCCTGGAGATGGACTGATGTGTTCCCAGACTTACTGCCATTTGGCCCCCCTCCTTCACCAGGTAACTTTCGACATCTCTCAAGGCAGCCAGAGCACACTGCCTACAACACACAGAAAGAGAATGCCTGCCTCAGGGCCGGTCCAGTCCACGGGGAGCCCAAGTAACCGCCCCCTCCCCCCTAAGCAGAGTAACTAGCAATCCGACTGCTCTGCTGCTCAGGCCGGCCAGGGCTGCCCGGTCGGAGCTCTGCCAAACACAGCTGTGGTCGCCCTCGAAAAGGGGGCTCATGCCAGGCTGCACACTGAGATCCCCAAGGGGCTTTTAAAAGACTGATGCCCAGGTCCCACCCACAGATTCTCACTTTCCTGCTCTAGGGTAGGGCTGGCATCGGATCTTTCCAAGATCCCAGGTGACCCTAAAGTGCAGCCAGGGTTGAACACCACTGCACTTAGGTTTCATGATCACTTGGGCTTAAAAAAAATTCCCTTTCAAATATGAACAGATGATTTCCCTTCTCTGAATTTTGTTCATTCTTAATGAGTCATAGTTGATCTGTACCACATCAGCTGAATCCAACCACCTCCGAGTGGATGGGTGGAAGGAACGAGCCTCAGAGAGACCAGGAGACTTGTCCAAAGACACACATAGATCAGGCCCCAGGGGAGAGCCACGGCAGGCCAGCTTCCTCTGTTACAGAACCTGGCTTTCAAAAGCAAACCACACCAAACTCCAAGGCCCCCCCATGGCGGCTCAGGCCGTACTTCCGGACTTTCATGGCTTCCTCGTTGTCAGGACGGAAGAAGCTGTAGGAGCTGTACTGCTTCACGGCCTCACGGCGGTACTCGCCCACGTTGAACACTGCGGGTGGAAGGAAAGGACCGAGCTGACCACCAGGAAGGGGGCCCCTCACCACTGGGAGGACTGTCTCCAACAAGGGCACCAAACCAACACACAGACTTGGACAAGATTCTGCTAAGACATGGAAACAAGGAAGTGGGCGTCCACCTCCAGGGCTGAAGGAGAAGGCCTTCACATCCATGGAGAAGGTTGCCCAGTGTCTCCCAGGGCAAACATGGCTCCTGCAGTCTGCCTTCCTGGAGGGTGTCCCCTCTGCCCAGCTTCACAAGGTCGGGGACAGCAAGCCAGGACTGAGCAAAGAGGCAGCAGCCACTTGCCAGCAAAACAGGGGTGCTGATTTCTGCCAATTGAATCCAGGCGAGGGGAGTCTCACGCACACACTACCAGGCCAAAATCAGCCACTCTTCTGCTGCCACAGCTTGTGTTGGGGGATGCACTGAACTTACCAGGAACTTGCTATATGAAGCCCTATGCTGGGCACCGTCAGGGACGGCTGGCGTAAATATCTGTCCCACCCCCAAGACATTTCCCATGTAGGTGGGAAAACCAGGCAAAGATTCATAAAAACAATCAATGGTAGGGAGCACTTCATGACAGTAGAGGAATGTCACACCAAGTGCTATGGGGACTCCAAGGGAAGTGGTCCACATGGACGTGTCCTAAAGGAGGTGAGGGCTGAGCTGGGCAGGACCTTGGCAGTGGGAATGACAGAGGCCAGTGAGAAAAGACCCCAATAGGAGGGGAGGTGTGTAGACACATGACCGACCAAAAGGGCCCACCCCTACAGGGGATAGGCAAGCCCAAAATGGCCCAGCAAGGTGAGTCCCAGCAGCTAGAGAAGGAGGTGCCATCTTGTTAGTTTCAGGGGCTGCCGAGTGGGAGCACAGCACTCACTGTGACCATGCCAGCCTTGGGAAGCAGCTCACCTTTCGTGGGGACACCAATCCAGTTGAGGTAGCGAGTCAGCTTCTTGGAGATGTAGGTCTTGCCCCGGGCAGGCAGGCCCACCATGACGATCACCGTGGGGGAGTTGGTCAGCTTTGGCCCACAGGCTGGGAAGAGCAGAGTGCCATCAACAGCGGGTGACCACTAAGTCCTGTGACCACACGAATTTCAAAGAATCCCATGGAAACCCCTATTTTGTGCCCACCTCAAGGCCTCTCAGTAACCCAGCCCAGCATGCTTTCAAGTCATGTGGCAGGACCAGCCCAGCCCTAAATCCCTAACCTGACAACCTAGCCACTGGCCTAGAACAGACAGCTTTTCTGGGGGTGTGAGCAAGGGTGGTCCCCACAAGTGAGTGTGCGGGCAGCTGGAGATGCACCTTGGTGCTGTGTACATAAAGGTAGAAGGTGGTACAGGACCAGGATGGGGCCCCACATTGTTAACTTCCCAGCTCTACACAGTGGGTCTGGGTGGCTGCCTTTAAAAATAAATTTTTAAAGAAGGTAATTTTAAAAAGTAAGAGTTTATCAAATGAAAGTAGGTCAGGGACCAGAACTCTGGCCCTCCACAGAGGGTGACTGATCAATTCCTCTGTTCTCAAGAGTCCAGCTCTTTCCTGCTCCTCCCTTCCAAGTCCTGACTAATGTCAGAACCCTGCTGAAGGGGTAGCAGGTCACAGGGCCTCAGCCAGGCCATGCCACAGAGCCCCAGAAAGGGCCCCAAAGAACCTGGATGTCTTGCCTGTTTATCTCCTCCTGTGGCTTTGCTCAACTCACATTGTTTCTTGGAATCTCAGTAAGACAAAACACTAGGGAGAGAGGCATTCACTGGGTTTTAAGAGAGCCACCCAAAGAACCCTGTTCTGCACTCTCATGGTGCAGTACTTCCTTGGCTGGTGTCCTGCCCCAAGACTCTCAAGGCAACCCAGGTGACAGGAGTGCTGGCAAGCCAGGGGCTGCTGTTCGGGAACAAGAGGCAGGCCTCCGGCCCACTGCCAGCCTGGTAGCACTGCCTGAAACTCGTGGCTGCTGCGGCCAACTCTCCTCCCCAGCCACTGGCCACACGATGCAGGCAAAGTTGCCCAGGCCACCCCTCAATCTAGGCAGATGTCAGGCTTAGATGGGCTCTGACCTGAGCAGCGCCCGAAAGGAGAGGAGAGGAGGAGCCGCCAGGTCACTGACAGGCACAGGCTTGAAGGAGGATGCTTCCTCTTAAGCTGGATGCCCCAACACAGTCCCATGCTCAGCCTGGTGACCAAATGAGATCACGTGTGCAAACACCTGCCACGCTCTTCTAAGATGATCTGCCTCCTGGACTAGTAGGCTGGGGGCAAGGAGGAAGCAGGCATGACTTACAGGGGGCTGTTTCTCCTTTCATGTTTTTAGTGACCTCTATGCAGGGAGAGGTAGAAGAAAGGCAGCTAAGAGGCCAAGAGACATTTAGGAGCCACAAAAACCTTTGGCTGGGATTCTCCAGCTCCTAGTAGCCAGGAACAAACAAGTTCCTAGAAAACAGGCATTTCCCTCCCCAGCATGAGCACCAAGTGGAGCAAAAAACTCACCAGTGGGCAAGCAGAGGAAGGTGAGGGCCTCCCTGAAAACCAACAGGGGCGTAAGACATAGCCTATTGTGTGCATTGTGGCAACTGCTGGCAAGACGTGAGAGAAGTGTTGACGTGTTCTCACTCCTGCCTGGAAACAATATTATTCCTTCCCCCAAAACACTGGTTTTTCCCTGGTTTTACTAGATGTCTCTACAGCGCCACTGCACGCCCGGGCATCCAAACATTCTCGGAGAGACAGACACATGCTCTCTCTTTCAGCTGTCAACACCCATGGAATACTTTTGATGGACTCATACCAAAGAAGCAGAGCCAGAGGTTGACTGATTGTATCAAATCGGGGATTAGTTCTACTATCCACTGATCACATGCACAAATCTCTGGCAATAGACGGGTTGGGAGGGGAAAAAAAACTATAAAGATATAGCATAGTAAGTATCTTCAGCCAAAAATTTCAGCTGAATTTCAACCTCAAATAAATCATCACTGCCTTACTGGGCAAAGCCGAAGTCATTTCCCCTATTCCTTTGGCTTCTGCATTAATCTATAAGGAGCTGCAAAAGGGACACACAGAGGTGGCTGAAGGTGCCCCTCCACCAGGCGTTGCTGGGTCTCAGAGCAGGGAAATCACAAAACCTTCAGCTAAACCACCTTTAAGTCTTACTCTCCTTCGGACCTCATAGCATATCTTAGGTACGTTTATGGTTCTAACAATTACCTGCCCTGCCTCAGTTCCCTGCAAGTCCTCAGTGTCTTCTTCTCTGCAGACCTTTGTAACCCATGGGAAAAGACAGCCCTTCCCAACTCTTATGCCATCTTCCCTGGAGCTCTGCCTTTTCCTCTTCTTCCCCAGCAGTATAGGGATTAGGGAAGATTTTGGATTTTAGCACAAGATTTTCTAAAAAGACCTTGTGTGTTTCATTTCATGTTATACAAATGTTTAATATTTTAAACTCCCTTGTTCTACAAAAGTTTTTTATACTTAAATGTATTTAGATATCAAAGTTAGATGTCAACAAAATCATGTACAAGGAGAGATACATAAATGTTCACACATTAAGGGGGTAAAGAAGCAATCACTTGAAGAATATTGGGTTAACAGACCATCAACACCTCGATGGTAGTTTGTGCAAGCTCAGGCTAGAAATGCCATGCAGGGTTGAGGCCATCACTTGAGTAAGAGCTTACCTCAACTCTGATGTCATTATATTCACTTCCTCAATGGACACATGTGCACAAAGTATATGTGCAGACATAATCCCTGTGCTGAGAGTTTCTGGTCTGGGATGGGGACAGAAAACACACAAGCAAACAAATGCACAAGGTCCTTTCACCAAGTGATAAATGCTATGATGAGAGCAGAGCAGAGGTCTGTAGACAGCTGGCAGGGGGCCAGGGTAGCTGTGGAGGTGGGTTGGAACTGGGTAGTCAGTGTCAGTGTACCTGAGCAGCACTGAGCTAAGACCTGACAGTGCACAGCCAGCTGCACAGTTGGTTTACTGGCTGTGTGTACACGTAAGTGGATATGGGAAAGCAAATGATAACCAGAAGGCCAGTTAGTGAGCATGGCAAGCAGCATCCCAAGGTGACCTGAACTCCCTAGCAATGGCTAGCCAGACCAGCTGGGGTGAGGCCCCTCACCCTGCACACAGCTGGTATTCAGGTCCCAGTTCCAGCCCTGCTCCCCAGATTAACCTAACCTCTCTGTTTATGTGTAACACACTGTCATAGCTGGCACTCAACAGCCATCTTCACCCACCACAATGACACCCACAATTCAGGCTCTGAAAACAAACCATTGGAAGACACTTTGCTGTTGCTCCCAAACCTCCTGTAACTTTTCTTCTACCCAGAGGCACTAGCAATGTCAACCTCAGAAAGCTGCTAAGTCTCTTGTGTTCTCTCCTACATATAGGTATGCTATGCTGTAACACAGGCTCATAGGAACAAGTGGAAAAGGGTGATTAGGACAGGCAGAAAGCTGCAGATGGAGACGGCATAAGCTCCCAAGGATCTGGTGGAAATTCCTGCCCCTGTCTACAGTAACCATGGGGACCTACTTCCACCCCCACCCCCCACAAGAGCAGACCCAGTGGTGCCCAGGGGAACCTGCTGCGACCCTGCAGTTACACCACCACCTCAGAGGGGTTCTCTGGGTTGGGGCTTCTTGCATGTGGCCCTGGGAGACCAGAATGCAGGCCTAGAAAGCAATGGACTCTTGTTTGCTGTCCACTGGACAAAAACCCTCTCCTGGGATCACATCAGCTCAGCGAGGTAGCGTTAAGAATCAGCATCTAGTAAGTATGCCCCAGGGATGGGCCTGAGGCTGTGTGTGTGTGTGTGTGGGGGGGTACCTCTTCCAAAGCTCTTCTGTACTATTTGCTGGATGCCATCCTTGTTAATTATTTGCATGTACAGTTCAACTCATGCCTGACTGATCTCTACCCAACGAATGCTCCCAGCAACCCGACATGGTCTTTGCCAGCAATAGGGGGTCCTGGGAGTTTAGTGAATCATCTGACAACCTTGGGAGGCAATACAATAGCAGAGTGGCTGGGGGGCAGGGACTGGAGTCAAGTAAACAGTTCAAAGCCGGTTCCATCACTTCCTCGGACCTTGGACAAGTCACTTGATCTCTCAGTGTCTCCATTCCTTTTCTGTGAAATGGAGGGATGCTTCATAAAGGGCACATGAACTACAGCATAATACACGTGAAATGCTGCCCACAGGGGCCTCCATCATTATCAGCGATTATGGCTTTCATCTTTCTAAACATGAGGAAACTAAGACCCACATGTAAAAAGGAGGGCCCATGGCCAAGCAGTGAGGGACAGAATTGGGGTTCATGTAGGTTTCTTCCCACCTGAAAAAAGTGCTCTTTCCTAACCTAGTGGTTCTCAACCAATGGCTGAACCCAAGGAGCTTTTAAAAACTTGGATGCCAAGGCCCCACCTGTAGCAATTCTACCTTGGTTTGGGGTCCCAATATGAATTTTTTCCCAAAATCTCCCCCAAATGAATCTAATGTGCAGCCAGGGACCACAGTAACCCCTGTAAACTGTAGTGGCCACCCCAGGATAAAGTAAGGATTTCTCCTGAACATCCCCCTATCTTTCTTCTTTAAGTTAGAATACCACCAGTGAAAACATTGTCTCAGGCCCTGTGGAGATGAAAATCTATTGGTAGACAGTATGAAACCCACTTTATACATGATGAAACTGAGGTTCTGAGTGGATAAATAACTTGCCCAAATAATCAGGGATTTGTACACTGAGGCTCCCAGATTTTGCTGATGATAAACAGAAAGGATAACTAGCCCGTAAATTAGTTCCTTGTTGATTTAAGCTGATTGACCAATTCACTAAGTCTCACCAAATTACGGTTTGCATTTGAGAGAAGCTGCAGATTTACCACACTATGGGTGTAGCAAAAGAAAACCCAAATGACGTGCTTCTGAGGCATAAACTAATCAATGTGTGGCTTTCTGTTGTTTTACTGTTCTTTGGTACATGAACAGTAATGTTTCCCGTGTGCTATATTTTAGTTAATAAACCTCAGAGGCATCTGGGGCAGACCCCCAATTAGGACACGACTTAGAAAGGTGCTATAACAGGTTTAGAAGAAAATCCATCTGATGTTCCAACTGCCATTAAAGAAGGCGGGGGGATGAGGGGGGTCAGGAAAGATGTCAAGAAGAAATAACCTCTTTTCTCTATTCAGCTGAGATCTAGGCGACTATAAACTGGGAAGGACGCCACTACTTGGAATAAGGGCACGTAACAAATATCTAGGCTGCAGGTAGGTATTTTTATAAGGAAAAATGTGTCTGAGCCTATACCACAGAACCACACACAGGGCTTCGGGAGAGTGGGTGGGGACAGGAGATTTAATCCATCAGCTTCACCCCTCCCCCCACGCAGCTCTGAATGGTTCCGACAGGGATTTTTAGGCAAATCTCTCATCTGCGTGTGAGACGTGCAGCGGGATAGCAGCTAATGGATGGCTCTCAGAAGCCTGGAGGGAAGCATGGCTGCACACTTCTGTTTCAGAGTCACCCGACTGAGTGCATGCCAGCCAGTTTCAAGGTGCTCGCCACATGGATCTTCATGGGCATTCCTCACTCCACCACCAGGAACCTCAGGGGACTACTAAATGTGTGTGTGTATGTACACACATACATACAAATGCCCATATCCACATACATGTGTATATAGAAAACCTGAATTTGCATGACCAATTACAGTTTTCAAAGTGCTCCATAATGTTTTATTCAAAAGTCCAAAGGGTGATGTTTTTTTCTCCATCTCCCTTGGGACTTAAGGCGCTTCATTCCTAACCACCAATAGGTTTTACAGATTTTCAACCAGACTGTGGTTAGCCCTAGTGTGGCAAGCTATATTTAAAAGCTTATCTGAAAGCTGGCAACAAGAAACAGACCTCCAAGCCCCTAGCCCTTAGCTATTTTGCAAAGAAACCTTGTTCTCCTTAAGGCTTCTAAGGTCCCAGAACCCACAGGTCCAGCAGAGGGGACAAACTAGTGGAGAAGTGACCCCCCAGAATAGGGAGCACCTTACCAGGCTCCACCCCCATCACCAGGATTAGGTAGGAGTACCACAGGGCCAGCGTTCCCCACCTCCTGGGCAAAACCTGAGTTGGTGAGCTGTCACCATGGCTTCAGCAACCACCCTGAGAAAAGGTGACAGCACAGAAGGCCAGTAGGCCACCCTGACTCAGGCACCATCAATGCCTAGGAGTCACCTAAGGTTTGCTGGGATCCCATGCTTACCTCTCAGGCAATTGGACCCTGCCTGGAGCAAAACAGACAGGACTGGGCTGGGCCCTATCCACCTGACGGCCCCTGGGCAGGTTACCAGGAGGAACAGTGTTGCCCTCAAACCATTGGAACCATCCTTTTAAGAGGTAGTTCTCTCAACAGCTAGAGACAGAGCCCAAGGTAAACCTTCCCAAAGCATTTACGGCTGAGGACAGATGGGGCCGGGAGTTGACTGACAGCAAATTCCAAGTAGGGTGGAATGTGTGTGTGGTGTGTGTGTGTATGTGAAACACTGCCAACAGAGCAGCCAAAGACCCACAGATCCTCTCCCAAGCCGGGGGCAAAGGCTCGTTTCCACGCAGCACTACGGTTACCAGCCTCCCAGCGCCCCCCCACCAGCTCCACGGGGCAGGTGGGAGCAAGGAGAGGCAGAAGGAAGACAGAAATACAGAGAGGAGAAAGAGCACAGATAGAAATATAAAGAGAAGTAGAGTGGAGATTAGAAATACATAGAAAGGAGAAACAGGAGATGGAAATACATAGTAAAGGGGAATAAACAGAGGTGCAAATATAGAGGTCCAGAGAAGAGAAAGGGGAGAGAAACAACACGAATAGAGGTAATGGGGGCCAGCAGAAGAGAGGAGGCAGCCACAGTTACAGAAAGGGAAGCAAGGCCTGAGGAGGGCGAAAGGGCCGCGTCTCTGAACAGCAGTCCTCCCTGCGGGTGCCCGGGAATGACGCGGACTAGGGGATACTAGGGAGGTTGTCCTTTCCCAAGCATCCCCTTACCAAAAGTTTTTGGAGCGCAGCGCCCCCGTCTCCGGCCAGGGGAGTCGCAGCGCCCGCGCCCCCCCACCTCCCCCGGCACCGCCGCGCGGCCACAGTGGCGCCCGCCCGCGCCGGGGAGGAGCGTTCGCCGGCTGGGCCTAGGGGACAGTCGCGGAGGGCGGCGCCGGCCCCTCGCCGGAGTGGAGTGGGCACAAAAGAGCCCGCCAGCGCTCGCCACACGATGGCCCGGCTTGGCACGCAGCACGCCCTGCCCTGAGCCCAGCCCCTGGGTCCACACTCACATCTGGGCAGCGAGGGGCGGTGGTCGACGGGGATCCATATCTTCTGCACCCGGCTCTGAGTCAGCTCCAAGGGCATCTTCACAGCCTAGACTCGACAGCCCTCCGCCCCTTGCGAAGAATCCTGACTAGGGGAGGACAGCGGGCTGTGGACCCCCGGAACAAAGGGGAAGGGGAACTGCGTGCGCGGGAGCGCGGCCCCGGCGCTTTTTGGAAAAGTGCTTTGTGCTAAATCACGAAAGCTCTCCCGAGCTTGCGGCCACTTGAGCGCGGCGAGAAGGGTGGGGGGCTGGAGCCGTACTCAGCTCTTGCAGGGCCGGGCTCGTCCAGTCGGGAGGCCCCGCGGATGCTCGGAGCGCAGCGATTGCCGCGGTCGCCTTGTGCCAGCTCCAGTCCTCCAGCCAGCTTCACAGTCGCTCGCTTGCTCTACAGCTCCGCAGGATTACCCGGCCCTTGGTCCAGACTTTTAAGAGGCTAAGCCGGCAGCGACGCCCACGTCAGCCTCGGGGCGGAGACGCACTCTTCAGGTTTCCGCCCCTTTCACGTGGGGAGTGGGGTGGTCAAATCGTGAGGCAGCCTGCCGGTGCCCCCTGCAGGCCGGCAGCAGCCGCGCGCTCTGCTCCGGCAGTTCCTTTAAGCCAGAACCCAGACTGGCCCGACATCGAGCTGCAGAAGGCTCTCGGAGTAGGACCTCCGGCCATCATCCCCTAAAGACAACCCGACATCTTCCCAGAAGTCACTTCAAAACTTTATTGCGAGAAAAGCCGCGGTGCCCTCCAGTGAGGTCCTCCGACCCCTGCAGCCCGAATGCCTGGATGCTAGTTAAAATGCATCCTACTGACACGGCCTTCCCGAGAGTGAGACCCCGATACTCTCTCTGCATTGTTAACACGCGCTCCGGGTCGGGCACTACCAGCTTGAAGACCCGGGCTTCGGGTTAAGGGATGGAGAGAGGTTAGCGGGGAAGGGGGTGGCTGTCTCTGCTACCCTAGAGGGAAGTCAGAGGGCGGATGTTGAGACAGCCAGTGCCACACAGCCTTCCGGGTCACTTCTTGCCAGAGCTGCTCCCTAATAAAACCTCGGAGTCTCACCCACCACGACCCCTTCCTTAACCCCTTGTCCCCACACGGCCCACTTCCGAGTCCCTTAGAAACCCTGACTTGTGCTGAACATGCTGCCCCAACACCAAGTCCCAAACCCTGAAACCCCGGCTCCCCCACCGAAGAGGGAAAGCCTGGGGGCTGCACCAAAATGGTACCAGGCATCTGGGTATTCAGTCGCCATCCACAATATTTTCAATATACCTTTATCTCTCCGAGTAAACGAGTAAATAAAACTAGATCCTATGCTGACCTGCAATTCATTACCTAAGCCGCGGAATGACTACTGGGAAGTGACAACTTGATTATGTAAACCCCAAACACTCATGACATTCACACCTCAAGGCATCTTCCTCGCCTATTTTTGGTGTGGTATCTGTCCTTTCTACCTCCCCGGCGCTCACAGTTTTACATCAGCTGGCGACATGTGACAGTCGTGTAGCCGGGCCGGTGGTCGCCCTGTGAAGATATGGGGTGCCCCCGCATTGGCATTACATGGTTGTGACTTTAGCTCATGATGCATCAGGTCAGAAGCGCTGTAGAGATGCACACCTCGCTGAGGTGGTGCTGTGATTGGAAAGAAGGCGGCGCTCCCTGAAATCCACACAGCAGAGCAGGCTGCGCAGCGGCTGCTACACGTCGCTCACGTCCCGCATGGCTCGGTTGGAGCCACGCCCGCTCTCTGGCAGCCGGCACAGCTGCGCGTGCCCCGCCCGCTCGCCCCGCCCCCCAGCGGCTCAGGGCCCCGAGCGCGTCGCCCACCCAGCAGGTGCTCCCGCCTGACCCCCACTCCGGGAGCCCCGACAGGCCCTCTCCCCCTTCCCTGCTCCCCAGCCAGCTCAGAGCCCTGAGCGCCTGGCATCGCCCACCCAGCGGGTGCCCCCGGGAACCTCCCCCCACCCAATCCCTGCTCTCCCTCTGACAGCTTTGCTGACTCTCTGGTTTCGGCGCTCGCGCAGCTGTTCAGAAACCCGAGTGCATTGCATTGGGGCTTGTTTTTCAGCACTGGGCGCAAATGCCACCGATGACACCCTATAACGTCCCAGGGAGAGTCCCACTCCACTCTTGAAGAGTGAGCTAACCAAAGAGAAAAAAGCAGCGAGCGAGCGCCTGAGCCACCAGGAAGCTGACTGCCCGGGTTCGCGGAGGTGGGGCAAGGGGCCGCCAGCGTGTAAAGGAGGCTGCACCCCACACTTGCCTCTCCGAGAAGAACCCGTTGCCTGCGTGCCTGCTCCTTGGCCCTGGGTATTTTGCACATACTTACAGGCAGGGCAGGGGGGCAAGGCGGCATTCTTCCACCCACCAAGCTTGCAAACAACAGGAGAGGGGTCCACACTAGAGGGGACATATCTTTAATGCTCTGAGCCAGATGATAACATCTAGGTGTCCTCCAGCGGGAGGTAGCTGGCTCCCTAGAGATCCCAGTGAAGCTTTGGCACTGGTGGCTGGCACAGCACCTTCTCTACCTGTGTGTCAATGATGCCTTAGGCAGCCTGGTTGCTGAGCAAAGCCCAAGTCCTTCCCCATCATCACCACCTGCACCCGATGGGGTGGGGGGTGCAAACAGAGGGTCACTTAATCCCCCACTCACTTCTGGTATCTAAGTGCAAACAAACTGAGAAGTCTGGGGGAGAGGGAGGAATTCAAACTAAAATAAAGGAGGGTAGCTGCTAGAATGGACACCAGTTGAGAATCCTCAAGTATGTTAGGGGAGCATCCTAAAGAAGATGAAATTGCTTCCTGGCGAAACTGTTTATGAACGACCCAACAACTGATTCTGAGAATGTACTGGTTCAGAGTTTACTGGTGCAGACATCCTAACCCTTTCCCTAGTTCTGCTAATGGTTCCATCTTCATCCAAGTCTCTAGGGCTTTTATCAACACCCCCTACTCCCTCCCACTCCCCGGCCCCATCCCTATCCCCAGTCTGGTGATTAGGAACTCAGTCCTTCAGAAAAGGCTGTGAAGGCGGCAAAACTTTCTCTAATGCAATGACATATTTACAGGAACAGCTCCAAGTACTAGCAGAGAGTCTTGGATCTGTGGTCCTAGGCACTAATTAAGGTTAGGAGCCTTGCAGATAATCCAATCATCCCCTTGTTTTGAGTAAAGAGAAACTGGTGATTAGAGGGTTTAAGGGATGAGGATAAAGGTCAAGGAACACAGCAAGTTAAGAACTTTTCCCCCCTATTTGACAAGACAGCAGATAGTTGTCCAGGGTACTCATGCTATGCACAGCCTAATCCCAGGGTGTTGAGTGGATCCGGAGGAAGGGGCAGGCCACATGCAGCTCACCAGGACAGCTGCGCTGTGTGGCTGGAAGGAGCTAGGAAGACCTTCTTGTCCTGTGAGGTGGTGCCTCGTGGAGGTGCTTACAGAGGAGAGTTCTTTAGCTAGGTCTAGACTCAAAGAAAGGATGGTGGAAATGGTTTTTCTCCATGACCTCCTCCCTTCCCATCCCCTCTGCTGACCAATGTCCTCTAACCCTTGCTGCTGCTCCAGATGCTGCTGTAACAGAAGTGAAAAGCAAGCCCCTCGTCAGATGGCCAGATTTAACATTTAAACGGTGCTGGTGCCCACCTCCTCCAGTGAGAGGATGGCGGAGAGCAAGCTGTGGCAGGCTATGAGTAATCATCCAAAGGTGCTAATTAGACACAGAGCTAGTCACTCGCTCCGAAGAACAATCCCATGTCTGAGAAAGGGAAGTGACACACCGAATAAAAGCCTGAACTTAAACCCTTACCTCACCACCCATCCAAAGCCAGGGAGAGGGAGATCTTTTTTTAAATAAAAAAAGTCTGTCATTCATATATGAATGGGAACATAGATGGCCACACAATGCCACATCAGCCAGTTGAAATCCCAACTCAAAACCTGTGCACAGAGGTTTACAGCAACTTCATTCATAATCACCAGAACATGTAAGGGGCCAAGATGCCCTGAAGTAGGTGGTGCATAAATAAACTGTGGTACAGCAGACAAGGGGATGTTATTCAGCACTAAAAAGAAATGAGCCATCAGCAATGAAGACATGGAGGAAACTTAAGTGCACATCACTAAAGGAAAGAAGCCAATCTGAAAAGGCACAGGCTGCATGGTTCCAGCTCTGACACTGTGGAAGGGACAACTCTGGGGACAGTAAAGGTCAGTGTTGCCAGGAGTTTGGGGGAGGAACAAACAGGCAGACATTAGAGTTTAGGGCAGTGAACCCACTGACACTCTAATGATGAATTCATGCCATTAGATATCTGTCCAAACCTCAGAATGTACAACACTAAGGGTGACCCTAATGTCAACTGTGGACTCTGGGTGATGACATGTCTGTGTAGGTTCATTCTTAGTGAATGGGTACCACTGTGGTGGGGAAGCTGGTAGTGGGGGAGGCTGGGTATTGTGTGGGGACAGGGGGAGAGAACTCTATACTTCATTGTCAGTTTGGCTGTGGACCTAAAACTGCTCTAAAAAAATAAAGTCAATTTAAAAATCATCATTTTTCTACAAATGTCCTATGCACTTTTCTCCAACCAGTTGGACTTACCTGTCCCATTAGGAGGGTGCATGGACAGTTCCTCTGTGGTCACAGGCTGGCTCTGGCTGAACAGATGCCAGGTGTGTGCTATGTCCCACTGAGCCTTCCAACAGATCCCCTTTCCCTCTGCACGGTCCACAGTGCTCCGCTTCCTGCAGGCCTTTCCTTTGCTTAGGGCACACCCTATCTTGGGACCATGCTCTTAAATATCCCCATTGATCACACTAGCTACTGTTTGGAGAGCATTTTACACTACACTTCTGGTCAACCTCCTCTTCCCATTACAATATGTATATTATTTGTGCTTAAAAGCATTCTTTTATGACTTCAAAATATTTGTTTTTTTTTAAGAAACCAGATATTCTGCAGTCTAGTTATTCTATACCAACGTCCATTTCCTGGTTTTGATATTTTACTTGTCATGTAAGATATGTTGCCATGAGAGGAAGCTGGGTGAAGAGTTCATGGAACTCTATGTACTATTTTGTAACTTCTTGTGTTTCAAAATAAAAATTTTAAAAACACAAAAAATTTAAAGGCAGTGATAGCTCAGTTTGCTCAAACTCTAGGGGGGAGGGGGGGAAAGCACAGATTGTATAGATCCAGGCACTGAAGGAGAAGGGAACTGGCAGAAAGGAAGTGAAGAACTCTCTAATTTGCATGTGTTCCTAACACCTTTGTTTCTTGCAAATGATACACATATACAAACAGATTTTCATGAATCCTGCACCTGTGGAAAAATGGAACCAAGCTCAAGCTGTGTTTTAATTTGAGGGAGACAATTCTATTTCTGGGCTTTGCATAGATCTTTGGAAGAATATCAAT